CCCATTTCGAGCTGGGCTGATATGATCACCCATCTATGGGGCGGATCTGAGATTAATGTTAGCAAAAGGATAGGGCCCTTTAACCTTATCCACTCTGGGAGACCAAATTCAAATCAGATTTGAATCTGGTAACCTCCTGATAAGATCAGGAGTAAGCTAACTTAATATGCAGATAGGATTAAGATAATCCCCTATCTAAATACTGATTTGGATTGGGATAACTCCTAATTAGGAAGTTTCTTAATCAAGAAGAAAAGGGGAGAAACCCTAAAAAAAATGATTAGTTTTCGAACAAGAGTTTTTTGAAAAAGCAAGAAAGCTTCCTGAGAATAAAGATTAGATCTCATTCACACTCCAGCGAGAAGAGAGGCAATTCAGCCATTTTTGTCCCAGGAGTTCTCCTCCAGCCGCCGCCATTCCTTCTTGCAAGATTCGATCTTTGAAGAAGAAAGAAGTCAATAAATCAGTTCTTGACATCAGTCTTGCAGAAAAGACTGAAAAAGATTCGGTGTTCAGAGTTTCCAAAGGATTCTTGCGAAGGATCCAGTGTGTAGGACGCACTCTGCTGGTTCCGTTTCACCCACAGCTGTGTCATCTTCAGCAGGAGCGGATCTTGGTGTCTTCTTTGGGCGTGAACACCAACTTTGGGAGATACCGCTTCTCCGGATCAAGTATATTCCTCCATTTTCTTTTTGGTTCAGATCTGGTTCGATTATGGTTCAAATAGGATCCTTGAATATTGTATTCTAAATTTAGGGAATATGATTCCCAGTTTGAAGAAGGTAGGAAAATTTTTGAAATTCGCCCGCCCATTCTGCAACCTTCTTGGCATCCATTAGATGGATCCTACCATTCTTTCAGTTTCAACAAGCATCTAATCAATTTGTTGTAAAAGGAGTACACCAAATGAAAATATAACGATCTATTAAGAGATTTATTTGTCAAAGCAATAGAGACAAAGAAGATTTTGAGCTATGACAATTACTTGTTCCACAAAGCAAGAATAGAAGGAAGGGTTGAAAATCACGAACCAGTTGGAAAAGAAAAGCTTAATCATTCTCTGATTTGGCCATTTAAATAGTCATTGGCTTCTTTGGGAGTGTTTATATTGAAATTGAATCCTTCAGTATTTACCATACAACTAATTCAGTAATTTCCTTGAAGCACGCAGCAGCACATATTCGGTTCAACCTTCGGTTTTTGAAATTCAAGCTTGGGATTCTCACAATGGTGTTTTTTATGTTATGGTGGGAAAGAAAACATAATACAACACTTTCAAAGGCGTCATATTCCTTTAATACTGCCCTTAAATAAAAAGAGCAGTAGGAGGGCTCGACTATTGTTTAACGCATGCAATATAAAGAAAAGAAAAAATGCAGTGTTAGATTTGAAGAATGCCCTATCCCCTTTACTAAAATTATACCCAAGGGTCCCACTCTATTATGCATATAATCGAACTGTGTATTGACCATGGCCAAAAACCATTGACTATAACTACTTCAGTTAACTAACTTTCAAATTTATAACAAACAGGGAGGCATCAAAATGAAACTACAAATTAAGAGAACGAAATATAATAATTGAAAAGGAAAACTCACGATTTTTTCCGGCTGCCCTTTCCATTGCCTGTCTCTTCTTCTTCTTCTTCTTCATCTCCGCTTTCGTCGTCACCCTCGGAATCGGAGCTATTGCTTTCTTCAGATTTTGTTTTTGGCTTGGCTTCTTCCTCTTCCTTTTCATCTTCTCCTCCCTCTTCTTCGGCTTTGTCGAACTGACTTTGAAGAAAGAGATCGACTTGTTCTCTTATAAATACCTTCTTGTCCGATAAATCGATTCCGAAATCTTGTTCAAGTTTCCGGCGTACAATAGCAGTGGTGGTCGTGCTCAGGTCCGACGTCTGAAGGAATTCACGAAGCCTTTCCACGAGTTCCGTGTCCGAAACCATTTCCTCTTTCTTCTGTTTCCGTATTTCTTGGCTCTTCTATGACTGGTTTCTATTTCCTGGATGGTGGATGCGGTTGCGTATTTGTCAAAGCTTCTGTCTGAAGTGGCAAGTTCTGGGACTCTGACAAAAGAAGAACGACTGTAACAAAGGGCGAGCCGGCGAGGATGAACCGATGAAGTAAAAGGTCAATTCTGGAAATACGGAAAGAAAAACGTTATCTCTGCAGATCTGCTCCCCGTTAGCTTTAAGGTGACTCAACGGTCGGGTCTGGGTCGGGTTCAGGTAGAACCAGAACCAACCTGATCCGATGGATCCGATTATAATAAATTTATTGAAATTGTTATATAAATAATATTAATTTATTTAATATATTATACATTATATATATATATATTAAATTATATATAATTTAGCATATTATATATACATATATATAAATATATATTTATTTAATCATATACTAGTGGAGTTGGTAGAGTTCATAATTGCAATCGCTATTTACTACATGAAAAAAGACAATGGTTTTTTAATAATAAACTTGCAATTATAAGTATTCAAGTCATGAAAATCATATAAATACTTAAAAGACATCATCATGTTCTCATTTTTTAAATATTGTTTCAGCAAAGCATCCCATATAAAAGAATATGATCATATAGTGGTAGTTCTGAGTTCTACTTCATAGTTGTCGTTTGTTTCATATCGATAACTCCCAGTTGATAAGGATAGTAGGACCGTTTGGCCTGAGAACTGTCCAGGCAACCGGTTCCGTTTTACCCCAAACCTGGTCCCTAACCAAAATGATTCCGTTTTCAGGTCGTATGAGTCACGCATTTGAATGAGATAACACGTATGATACTACTTAATGGACCTCACACACTCAATCTTTTCCCTTTAATTTTTGTTGTTATAATAGGTCGTCCATTCGAGGTAAACAATCGAGCCATCGACCCAAAAACCAGCGGCAATAAACAGTTCCATAACTTTTTGCTTGTAATTTTTGTTGTTAGAACGGGCCATTCGTTTGAACCAAACAGTTGAACCATCGACCCAAAACCAATGGCATATATATATACTAGTATTGTGTACGTGCTTTGCACGGGACAAAATTTATAATGATGATAGTATATATGTTTCCAAAATTTTCTATAATTTTTTTATATTTTTATGTCTAAAATTAATATGGTTCATTAATGTAGAGATAAACTAAGATGTTTTCTACATAATTTATATATTTTTTGTATACTTTTGTGTTTTTATATTTTAAAATAAAATTTTAATTATAACTTCACAAGCTGATACATTGAACCTAAAATGTTGAATTGATCTACCACCAAATAGGAAAACGAATTCACTTTTTGGTTAATTTTGAATTTTGTATTTTATTTATATCATCAATAAAAAGTTAAAAACAATTATTGTTTATCGTGTCTAACTTTTAATATGAATAATATAAAATATTAGAGATGTGTCCAAATGTTTTCTATAGAGTTTCTATTTTTTTATATTTTTTATATTTTTATATTTTGTTAATTTTTATTGTTTAATTATGAAATCAATGATTGACACATATCATCCAAAAGGTTGAATTGTTAACTTGCCACTAAGAAAACAATCATTTTTAGGTTGGTTTTAAAGTTTATATTTTATTTTCAACATCAATAAAGCAATTATTATTTAACACTTATTTTTTTTATATGAATAATATAAAAATATTAGATAGGTGCCTAAATGTTATTTACAAAATTTTGTATCATTACATAATATTTTTGTGTTTTTTATATTTTTTCTATTTTTATTTAATTATGATATTAAATGTTGACATATTTAACTCAAAAAGGTTGAATTGTTGACTTGTCACCACAAAAATAATTTTTACTTTTGGATTGCTTTCCAACATGAATAAGAATAATTATTATTTATCATACTTATTTTTGCTTTAATATGAGCAATGAGCAATACATACATATTGTGTGTGTGTGTGTGTGTTTCCAATTTTTCTACATTTTTTATTTGTTTATATTTTAAAAGTTTTTTTATTTAATAATGACATCATGGAATAGCCAATTTGACTTAGATGGTTGAATTGCTTACTTACCACCATGACGGAAAAATAGTTCCATTTTTGGGTAAATTAAAAAAAAACATGTTTTTATATCGTTAAAAGCATTAGATGTATATCTAATTGATAAAAGTTATATTTTTATTTTATAAAAATAATATCTTAAATATAGGACTCAATAAAGGAGTGGAAGTTAATAATACAACTTAATGAGAGGTAATTGAATGAGAAGAAATTTAGCAGTTCAAAATACATTTTGTGCCCTCACAATTAAAGAGGAATTAAATTAGAAAATAAGGGCATTCTAGTAAAAAAGTTCACACCATTATTTACACTTTTAATAATATTATAAAAGCATTAAATGAAGATGTAAAATAACAATTTTTTGACTTATATTGTTTTCCAATTCAAAATTTAGAGAGGGGGCATTTGTGGTCCAATCAAAATTCCGACTAGATGATCGAAATAACTCCGACTGGATGATTTGATGTGAAATGAGGTTTATGATCAAAATAACTCCGATTGGATGATTGAAATCAATTCAGGCTTTGAATCTTAAAATGAAGGGGTAACGGTGTTGGATTCAAGTGATATTGGTGTCATTGGATTTGGATTTTTGGGAACTACATACCTATGGTCTTAGATTTCTAATTTGACGTGAAATGAGGTTCAACATCAAAATGACTCTAATCAAACAATTGGAATCAGTTATGGCTTTGAGTCATAGGATGAAGGGGTAAATGGTTTCGGGTTTAGGTGATCTTGGTATCGCTAGATTTGGATCTTTGGGATCTACGTACCTATGGTTTTGGATTTCTGATTTGACGTGAAATGAGGTTTAAGATGAAAATGACTCCGATCGGAGGATCGGAATCCACTCACTCTAGCTTCGGGTCTTAAGATGAAGAGGTAAATGGTGTTGGATTTCAGTGATATGGATGTCGCTGGATTTGGATTTTTAGGCTCTATGTACCTATGGTGCAAAATTTTTTGATTTGACATGAATTGAGGTTCAAGATCAAAATAATCTCGATCGGACGATCGAAATCGATTTTGGCTTTGGGTCTTAGGATCAAGGGGTAAGCGGTGTTGGGTGATCTTGGTGTTGTTAGATTTGGATTCATGGGATCTACGTACTTATGGTTTTGGATTTATGAGTTGACATGAAATGAGGTTTAGGATCAAAATGACTTTGATTGGACAATCGAAATTAGTTCTGACTTCGGGTCTTAGGATTAAGGGGTAAATAGTATCGGATTCGAGTGATCTTTGTGCCATTGGATTTGGATTTTTTGGCTCTATGTACTTATGGTCTCGGATTTCTAAGGCCCTATTTTTTAAATTCCAAAAATGCCCCCAAGTTGGTTGATAGGTTAGCTAAAGCATGCTTAAACCTCGAAATGCTATAGAAAAACTAAATGGTGCAAAAATAGGGTGTCTAATTTATGCTTTTATTTAGTTTTAAATTTTTTATTTGTAGAAAATATTAAAAATTGGAATTTGAGGCTAAAAAGGGGTTTTGGCAAAAATAACGGGATATGAAACATTGGGATGCATATATATAAAAAAGTTACCCAAAATAAAAAAAAAATCACTACAATTTGACATCGAAATGCAAAGTTAGGCCTCCCAGAGTTTGCATACATGGTTAGTATGCAACTCGAGACCCAATCATTGGGTCGAATTGATCAACAATCCAACCATCTGGGTTGGATGGTTTTTGATCATGTCAATGGTTTTTAACCTCTCTCTAGGACTCAAACTAGACCCACAATCTTGATTGGATGACAGTTTGAGCAGTTCAATCGGCCAGTCAACGGCGAGTTAGAAACATTGGCCATCACTACTCAAACAAACCATGATGAGAAGGGTTAACAACTTAATGTTACCTCTCTTCCACTCTTACTAATTTTGCTTTATTTGAATGAATGTGCATTTCTTTGTATTATCTTCATCAACCTATTCTCATTTTCCACGTCAACCTTGCAAGGATTTTATTAAGTTTTGTTCTTTCTGACATAGCATATATGGTACTTACTACTCGATTAAAATTCAAAACTATGATCTCTCTTGTTTCCCAAACTCCTTTGAATTATTTTTTTATTTAGTATCAATAAAATTTCTTATTTCGAGGGGAAATGCCTGGAAAAAAATAAAAATTCGTGGTTGGGAAGGTCATAGTAGCAAAAGCCATTGGAATTTTCATTTTATACATCAAAAAAATCCGTTTTGTTATTAATADACCAGGAGAGGGGAAAAGAATGAGTGAAAGAAAAGAAATCAATTAGTTATTCATCGAAGTTTCATTTTATTCAATGACCAGAATTAAACGAGGATATATAGCTCGGAGACGTAGAACAAAAATTCDTTTATTTGCATCAACCTTTCGAGGGGCTCATTCAAGACTTACTCGAACTATTACTCACAAAAAAAAGAGAGCTTTCGTTTTAGCTCATCGGGATAGGGGCAAGCAAAAGAGAAATTTTCGTCATTTGTGGATCATTCGAGTAAATGTAGTAATTTGTGAAATAGAGAAAATGGGTTATCCTATAGTTATAGTCAATTAATACACGATCTGTACAAAAGGCAGTTGCTTCTTAATCGTAAAATACTTGTGATGTGTGCAATTCAGCCACTCCTAGCTAGAAGTGACAAGGCTTCTAGCTGGCGATGGGCAAGAGATACCTGCAAGAAGAACGAAAGGACCCGGGTTTGAACACCCGGCGGGGACTCTCCGATGCTTAACTTAGAACTCGGTAGGGAGTTGAGAAAGATAATGAATACGCAAGAAGATGAGAGCTAGAGAGTGGTGAATATGTGATACCTTTGCCTCTGAGGGGTCGGAGTGCTTATATACTGGCGTCTGACAGGTTCGGTGGGGTTGATCCCAAATCCCTGTTGTGGTGATCCGCTATTAGGTCGTACCACGAAGTGGCTAGCCGTTAATGTCAGGGCCGAGAGCAGGCGGGCTACAGTGGCTGTTGCATGGTACGGTCCCGCCAGCTGGGAGACAACCTGTAGGCACGACGCCGCTAGGTGGGAGACAAGGATGCAGCCTTCTGAATTGGCAGGCGCTGCGCTGTTTAGACAGGGATGCGGGAGCAGTCTGGTAGGTACGACTTTGTCAGACGAGA